AATTAAAAACTATTGGAATTTATTTGACATAAATATAAAAACAGGTCAAAAAATACATAAAAATAACAAATAGTATACACCTACATAACATTTAAACCGAATTAAAAATACCTAGACACTTACCTCTACGACGGCGAACACGTAGACACTTCCTTTCTCGACGTTGGACACCTGGACACCGACTTCCTCGACGGCGGACACGTTAAAGATACCTAGACATCTACCTCTACGACAGCGAACACGTAGACACTTACCCTCTTCGACGGAAAACACCTCCTCTCGACGACGAACACCTGGACATCAACTTTTTTAACAGCGAACACCTACGAGCGGGAATTAAATTTATAATTTTCGAGCGAGACAACTTGGTCGAGGTGATCGTTTGAAAAATCTATATTTTCGAGCGAGCGTTACTTACCGGAGCTGAGCGCTAGAAAGTATAATATTTCCGAGCGAGCGTCTACCTCTTAAGGTAAGTTTTCGATTTTTACTAAACTTTAATGAGTTTTTCTGGCCAAACGGAGCAAGGTAGAGACTCGGTGAAAAGGACCTTTTTTATTCCTCTCGTCAAGTTCAATAAGGGAAAAATATCAAACATTTTAAAAAAGAAAAAAAAATTTTTTTTACATAAAACGTTCTATAACTTGTAAACTACAACAGATACAGGTTCCGTAAAGAGGACCTTTTTTATGCAACTCGACAAGAGGAACAAGAAAGTTCTTCTTCACCATGACTCAATCTCCAGCCGTTTGGCCTGGGTAAATCGTTTTTGGTTTGTGAAATTCAAAAACGAATTACCCAGGCCAAACGGCTGGAGATAGAGGCATTGTGCAGAGGACTTTTTCTCTTTCTCTCACCGAGTTTTATAACAAAAAAATGCCATATTCCAAAAAACCTAAAAAATAAATATTTTGTTCTCATGAAAAGTTTTACAACTAGGGTTTCAATTTCTTTCGTATTTTTTCCTTATAGAACTCGACGAGAGGAACAGGAAAGGTCCTCTTCGCCATGCCTCTATCTCCAGCCGTTTGGCCTGGGTAACTCGTTTTTGGTTTGTGAAATTAAAAAACGAGTTACCCAGGCCAAACGGCTGGAGATAGAGGCATTGTGCAGAGGATCTTTTCTCTTCCTCTCACCGAGTTTTATAACAAAAAAATGCCATATTTCAAAAAAACCTAAAAAATAATTATTTTGTTCTCATAAAAGTCTTACAACTAAGGTTTCAATATCTTTCGTATTTTTTTCTTATACAACTCGACGAGAGGAACAGAAAAGGTCCTCTTCGCCATGCCTCTATCTCCAGCCGTTTGGCCTGGGTAACTCGTTTTTGAATTTCACAAACCAAAAACGAGTTACCCAGGCCAAACGGCTGGAGATAGAGGCATTGTGCAGAGGAACTTTTCTCTTCCTCTCACCAAGTTTTATAACAAAAAAATGCCATATTCCAAAAACACCTAAAAAATAATTATTTTGTTCTCATAAAAGTCTTACGACTAGGGTTTCAATATCTTTCGTATTTTTTCCTTATACAACTCGACGAGAGGAACAGGAAAGGTCCTCTTCGCCATGCCTCTATCTCCAGCCGTTTGGCCTGGGTAACTCGTTTTTGGTATGTGAAATTCAAAAACGAGTTACCCAAACGGTTCAAGATAGAGGCTCGGTGAAGAGAACCATTTTTGTTCCTCTAGCCGAGGTCTATAAGGAATGAATACCAAACATTAACATAAGTCTTACAACTCGCATTTCTAAATGTTTGGTATTCATCCCTTACAACATTTGTCTGTCTCCTCTGTAGATGTTTCCAGACGAAAAAAGCCTCGCTGATTTTGCCGACGAGGAAAACGTCGTCGTTCCTTCTTTTGACAACGACGCGAGGTTCGATTTTCGGGCCTTGTTCATGATGTGGCAACATGCACTTCGTGGTCGCAGGATGGACGATTTTGACTGGAAGATTTCTAAGAGTGACAGTTTCTCGGAAACTTCTTCTCTACTAATCCTGAGTGACAACGATAACGACGACGACGATGACAAATACAGGACAACTGACAGAAATGACGATGACAAGGCCGACGACAAGGACGGCAACAAAGGCGGCGCCGCCGCCGCCGCCGTCGCCGCCGCAGCACCAGCGAAACGGCCACGATTGGACGACGAACCAGGGTGTTCGTTCTGGCGCTAGGGACAGTTTTTTGAAAATCAGCCCTTTTCAAGGCCGCTTCCCTGTCGACTTGTGGCCGCTACCTTGACGCGGTGATGGGGCTTACGCGCGTCTCTTCTCCGAGACACGCGCTAACCAAGAGCGGCCACATTGAAATACAAACGCGCGGTATATGTCACTAATCTTACTTTTTTTTAAGTTCCCCCCCACAATCGAGAGGACTCTGAGCAGCAGCAGCGGCAAGGGAGTATTTCGGTGAGTTCAACGGGGATAAGATGAAAGCTGATGTGTAATTTTGATGTCAATTTTCATCTTTTCCCCTTAGACTCGCTTCGACTCATGCGACAGATCTAAACATTTCTCATTGGTATCCACCGGCAACAGCAGCAGCGGATCAACATAAGAGTTTTGGATTGCGGTACGATGGATGACGAGCTTTTGCACACAATTACAAAAATCGGATTGCATTTTAGTATCTGATTTTTGTCCTTGTGTGCGAAAGCTTCATCTTCTACACCGTCACATGGGAACGACAACCGGTTTGGACGACAGCGGCAGCGGCAGGTTGACATTGGAGGCGGAGATTAATATTCCGTTCCTGTGTGTGTCTACAATAACCGTAGTCGTCGTTGCGGTCGTCTTTGACAAATTAGAAATATTCTTTTTTATATTCGGGGGGGGCTTCGCCCCCCCCCAAAGCCCCCCCTGACAAGGGGGCTTCGCCCCCTTGGGACTCCCACCAGGGGGCTTCGCCCTTTTGGATCCTCGACCAGGGGCCTTCGCTCCCTGGACCCCTGGACGTTGGCCGATTCCCCGCAGTGTGTAATCCTGTCGACGTTTTGCCTGGGAAACCTGAAATGAAATATGACACAGATCTATGCCAATTTAACACAAATAGTGTATTTCGATAAGACGACGAGTAGAAATGCAAAATATATCAAAATAGAATTATATTTCAATGAGTCATATTTGCAGGCATACACCTATAAATCTGACTCATCGAAATATTAATTACATTAAATATACGATGCATTTCTATTCGTCGTCTAATCGAAATACATTTCTTGTGTAAGTTTCGCAGAAATCGGACTTATAATAGCGGAGAAAAAGTCGAAATAAGAAATGTTGTAAACTTGAGTTTTTTAGAATAATGAAATATTGGTGCCAATTGCTAACGCGTTCGACGCGAAACGTTCGTACGAGTAATCATTGAGCGTGGCGGCGCTTTGTCTCGACGAGAAACAATTATTTTTCAACCTTATTTTTGGAATCGTAACATTTCGATACCTCATAGAGCGAAAATAAATATTACTCGTCAAGACTAAGCGCCGCCACGCTCAATAATTGCTCGTACATACGTTTCGCGTCGTTCTCAATAATACTTGCCACCAATATGTCATTATTCTCAAAATCTCATTTTTACCACATTTCTTATTTTAAATATATCTCCGCTATTATCACTTTGATATATGCCAAAGTTACACAATTAGTGTTTTTCGATGAGACAACGAGTAGAAATACATAAGATATCAAAATAGATTAATATTTCTAACAGTCATGTTTCCAGGTATACACCTAGAAATTTGACTCATCAAAATATTAATTGCAATTAATATATCATGCATTTCTACTCGTCGTCTCATCGAAATACACTTTTTGTGTAAGTTTCGCCCATGTAGGACCGATAACAGCGAAGATTTGGTCGAAATAAGAAATGTCGCTAAATTGAGTTTTTTAGAATAATGAAATATTGGTGCCAATTAGTAGCTAATAAGGGCGGGTTCTAACTCAGGAGCTCCGAGGGGGGGTGAGGGGCAGGGGGTCCGCGGGGAGGGGGAAACCGCTCAGAACGTTCACGGTCGGATGCGGGGTCCGCGGGGAGGGGGAAGCCGCGGAAAGCCGCTCGCTCAGCTGGCCTGACCGCGGGGACGTGGGTGTTGCGGGGAGAGGGAAACCGCGTTGTAGGTCCGGGATGCGCGGGGAGAGGGGAACCGCGTTGTAGGTCCGGGATGCGCGGGAAGAGGGAAACGCGTCGTAGGTACGGAATGCGCGGGGGCGGGGAAACCGCGTCGTAAATGCGGAATGCGCGGGGAAGAGGGAACCGCGTCGTTGATGCGGGATGCGCGGGGAGAGGGGAACCGCGCTCGCGCTCGCCGCGTTCGCCGCCGCCGCCGCCGCCGCCGTTGCGCACGGGCCCCACCCCACCCGTTATCGCTCGCGAAGAGGAAGAGGAGGAGAAGAATTAAAGAAAATATTATTATGATTAAAATATGGAAAAGTTTTTATTTAAAAAGTTATGTAATAAATGATTGATGAAAAAATAATGTAGTTATTATATAATCTATATTTTATATATAATATATTCGGTGCAAATCCGCATATCTGTCGCCATCTGCAACAGACAAAAGGAGACGTATATTTAAAAGTGCATTAAAGAAGAAAGAAGGAAGATAGCTAGTAAAAAAATACTTACCCTAGTTGTAAAAGACGACCGTCCTTGTATCTGTGGCCACGTCCACAATCACGCGCAGCGGCGCTTCCTCCCGTGGGCTCGTCGGCGCCTGCGGGCTTCTCGCGCCGCTGCCCTCCGGCGCCTCCTCACGCACCTGCGTCCTCACCCTCAGCCGCGGACCCTCCACCTCGCGCGAACTTTGCGGAGGCGTCCGTACTCTCGCCAAGGTCCGCAAAAATTGGTCGTCATACGGGGAGGCTGCAAGTCGCCTCGCCACGCGCAGCCAGTACCTGCGACTGCACTTGTCGCAGGCACTTGGCGCAAAGTCCTCATCACAATTTATACACTTCATACTGTTCGCGCACACTGCGAGATCGATGCAACAGCTCAATGACGACTAACTCAAAGGTTCCACGAGAACCCGCGAGTAAAAATGCAAGCCATAGAAATAATTATCTCTCCTACCTGATAATGCCGTGAGGATGATATTGATACATATGTTATATCACACACACGCTCTTCCGAAATGATAGCGGCTATAAAGAATATAAATGAAATTGAAACAGTCTTAAATTCATAAACGCTTTTACGGAATATCGAACCGCCAATCGAACCGATACCGCCGATCCGATACAGCTGACCTGATCAATCAAACCGCCTGTCGAACCGCCTGTCAAACTGCCTGCCGAATCGATACCCCGGTTCTATCGAACCTTCTGTCAAACCACCTGTCTGTTCTATTAAACAGCTATTAGTTTAACTACATAGAAAATCATATTCTTTCGCGACCTTCATTAGTTAGGTATATTATACAAGTTAAGATAAAGAATGATCGTGTCAGCATTTGCCGCATCTCAATGTCATGGCAAAGTTACGAAGACACATAATATAAAACCATCATCATACTGCCAATCGAACTGATACCCCCGTTCTATCGAACCGATACCGCTGTTCTATCAACCGATACCGCTGTCTATCAAACCGATACCCCTGTTCTATT